CAAACCATGAAAATGCAATGGATAGCTAGAACTCAACGAGCTCTATGCAATGCTCACCTTTTAAGGTATTCTAAGTACTTCCATCCTACCCAGAACCCCAATATACTCAGAAATCCTGGATTTTCCCGCAGAACCGTTCCGGGATTTGCCCACAGCAGCGATGAAAACATGAACTTGACATAGGCACATAGAACTCGATGAGCTCTATCCAATCCCCACCTTTTGAGGTATTCTAAGTGCTTCCATCCCCCACAAAACCCGAATATACTCAGAAATACTGGTTTTTACCGCAAAACCCCTCCGGGATCCGCCCACAGCTGGGACCAAAACATTAAAATGACATACGTGGATAGAACTCGATGTGCTCTATCCAATGGTCACCTTTTAACGTATTCCAAGTACTTCCATCGTCCCCAAGCCCCCAATATACTCAGAAATCCTGGTTTTTCAAGAAAAACTCTTGCGGGATACGCCAACAGCTCGGACCAAACAATGAAAATTACATGGGTACATAGAACTCAACGAGCTCTATGCAATCCTCAACTTTTAAAGTATTCTAAGTGCTTCCATCCTCCACAAACTCCAATATACTCAGAAATCATGGTTTTTCCCGCAAAAACCGTACCGGGATTCGCCCACAGCTGGGATCAAACAAAGAAAATCACATGGGTGGATAGAACTCAACGAGCTCTATCCAATGCTCACCTTTTAAGGTATTCTGAGTCCTTCAATTCTCCACAAAATCCCAATATACTTAGTAATCCTGGTTTTCCCTGCACAACGGTTCCGGGATTCGTCCACAGCTGAGACCAAAACATGAAAACGACATATGTGGATAGAACTCAACGAGCTCTATCCAATGCTCGCCTTTTGAGGTATTCTAAGTACTTCCATCCCTCACAAAACCCGAATATACTAAGAAATCCTGGTTTTTCCTCCACAACGGTTCCGGGATTCACCCACAGCTGGGACCAAAACATTAAAATGACATACGTGGATAGAACTCGATGAGCTCTATCCAATGGTCACCTTTTAACCTATTCCAAGTACTTCAATCCTCCCTAAAACCCCAGTATACTGAGAAATACTGGTTTTTTCCGCAGAAACGTTCCGGGATTTGCCCACAGCTGTGACGAAAAAATGAAAATGAAATATATAGATATAACTCAATGAGCTCTGTCCAATGCTCACGTTGTAAGGTATTCTGAGTACTTCCATCTCCCACAAAACACCACTATACTTAAAAATCGTGGTTTTCAAGCAAAACCGTTCCGGAACTCGCCCACAGCGGGGAACAAAATATGAAAATGGCATAGGTAGATAGAACTCGACGAGCTCTAGGCACTGCACACCTTTTGAGGTATTCCAAGTACTTTCATCCCCCACAAAACCCCAATATACTCAGAAATCCTGGTTTTTCCTGCACAACGGTTCCGGGATTCGCCCGCAGCTGGCAGCAAAACATTAAAATGACATAGGTACATATAGCTCGATGAGCTCTATCAAATCGCCACCTTTTAACGCATTCCAAGTGCATCCATACTCCCCAAAACTCCAATATACTCAGAAATCTTGGTTATTCAAGGAAAACCATTCCGGGATTCGCCAACAGCTCTTATCAAACAATGAAAATGACATGGGTAGATAGAACCCCACGAGCTCTATGCAATGCGCACCTTTTTTAGGTGTTCTAAGCACTTCAATCCTCCCGAAAACCGCACTACACTCACAAATCCTGTTTTTTCTAGCCGAAGCGCTCCGGGATTCCCCTACAGCCGGGATCAAAACATTAAAATGACATAGGTAGATAGACCTCCATGAGCTCTATCCAACGGTCGAGTTTTAACGTATTCAAAGTACTTCTATCCTGACCAAAACCTCCATATACTCAGAAATCCTGGTTTTTCAAGCAAAATCGTTCCGAGATTTGCCCACAGCTGAGACGAAAAAACGAAAATGAGATTGGTAGATAGAAGTCAACGTGCTCTATCCAATGGTAACCTTTTAAGCTATTTTAGGTATCTACATCCGCGGAAAAATCCAATATTGTCGGAAATGCTATTTTTCCGCGAATAACTGCTCAGGATGCGCCACCACTTAGTACCAGGGTGTGGGTGTGTGTGTTGGGGAGTGGGCGTGGATGTCTTGGTGTGCGGGTGGGGCGTGAGTGCTTGTTTGTGTGCTTCGACTTTTGAGTTACACCCACACGTACACCCTACCTGTATTCACGCACACCCACATCCACACGCTACCTGCACTTACACACACCAACACCTACCCCCACATCCTTTTAGTCCCACCTGCGGTCGAATCACGGCGGTATTTCCAGAAAACACAGGATTTCTTCGTATATTGTGGTTTTGGCTTGGGCGGAGGTACTTACAATTCCCTTAAGAGGTTACCATTGGATAGAGCTGATTGAGTTCTATCTACCTTTGTCATTTTCATTTTTTGGTCCCAGCTGTGGGCGAATCCCGGAACGGTTTTGCGGGAAAAAACCAGGATTTCTGAGTATATTGGGGTTTTGTGGGGGATGGAAGTCCTTAGAATAGCTTGAAAGGTGAGCATTATATACAGCTTGTTGAGTTCTATCTACCCATGTCATTTTCTTGGTTTGCTCCCAGCTGTGGGCGCATCCCGGAACCGTTTTGCTGGAAAAAACAGGATTTCTGAGTATATTGGGGTTTTGGGGAGGATGGAAGTACTTGAAATACGTAAAAGGGTGGCCATGGGATAGAGCTCTTCGAGTTCTGTCTACCTATATGATTTTAATGTTTTGGTCGCAGCTGTGGGAGAATCCCGGAACGGTTTTTGCGGGAAAAACCAGGATTTCTGAGTATATTTGGGTTTTCTGGAGGATGGAAGTACTTAAAATATCTTAAAAGGTGAGCATTGGATAAAGCTCGGTGAGTTCTATCTTCCTATGATATTTTCATTTTTTGGTCTCAGCTGTGGGCGAAGCCGGATCGGTTTCGCGCGAAAAATCCGGATTTCTGAGTATTTTTTTGGTTTTATGGAGGATGGAAGTACTTAAAATACCTTAAAAGGTGAGCATTGGATAGAGCTCGCTGAGTTCTATCTACCTATGTCATTTTAATTTTTGGGTTCTAGCTGTGGACGAGTCGCGGTGCGTAGCATAACAAAAATCTGATTTTTTGCTTGTTTTTTTACACTATTCTAGGTTTTTCTCCCACTTGGAATGGTACTGGAGCAAAAGTAAATAATGCATTCGATAGAGCTCCTTGAGTTCTATCTTGGTGCGTAGAGTTTATCTTTGGTTCCAACTGTGAGCGAATCCAGTTACGGAATACTCGAATCCAGGCCCAAAATAACCTACGTCAATTACCTTTACCTCTTGGAACTGTAGAAAAAATTGTAAATAATTTGTTTTAACTGCGCTATTTTAATGTAAAATCTTTGTAGTGTTTCTTTATGTTTCTAGATTGAGTAAGATTTATGTTTATCATCTGATGATGATAATTTTGAAAATAATTTAATTTGTGATGATAATAATTATAATTTTGAAGGTAATTTGATTTATGATGAAAATAGTTATAATTTAGAAGATAACTTGGTTTAGGGTGTGGGTGTGGTTGTGGGTGTGGGATGTGGGGTATGGGTATGGGTGTGGGTGTGAGTACCGGTGTCAATGTTGGTGTGAGCTCTCAACAGAGAATAGATACTCACACCACAACCACACCCACACACCCACATCCACACCCACCCACACACCCACACCCACACCCTCTCAGCACTGATTTATGCCCCTGGGTCTTCTCTTTTTAATGGTGAAAGCCGCAGCTCTCTATCTTATTCATATCAAAAGTTATTCAAAAAATGGCCACTCGTCTTTAATATTTTGTGGACAATAGATCATCCATTATAGTATCAAAACGAGGAACTTCGGCAACAGTTCAACCATCATCATTATTGAATAAAGAAGATGATGATGATGATGACGACGGCGAACTTTGAAATACAGCTTTTGCGGTTCGTTTTTCCTTTATTTTGTTCAACTTTTCTCTTCATATGAAATTGATGCATATTTTTTGTCGATTGTTGTGTACTTTTTTGGGTATTTTATTTGAAACTAATAATAAAAATAATATAGTAACGAAAGGAGATAATAATATTGATGTAAAAACAGGTCTCATCTGTATCACAAGAACCAGTCAGGAACTTCAAGAAAAAGATTCAGGCAAGTATTCAAGAAAGCACGAATCATGCAAGAACTGTAAGAAAAAAAGAATCAGACAAGAAGTCAAGAAGAAAAAGAATCAACAAAGAATACAAGAATCTTGTCTGGCAAGACATTTTTTGCCTCGCCAGACAAGGTTCAGTCTACACGAATCTTGCAGAATGTCCAGATCTGTTTTTTCAAACAAGAATCTTGTATAGAAAGAATAGCAAAAGAATCTTGACTGATAACCAAGAAAAACAAGAATCTGGAACGAACGATGTCAAGATCGTCGATTAGTGCATGATGAATTTTGTTTTGATGTTATTATTAATAACTTGATGACTAATCTCTTCACAATGCCCATATATGGTGTCCTTTAGGCACGAACAGTCATATTTCTTTCTCTCCGACATCACTAAAACGCTGCCTCACACTCATTCTCTCTGTCTCTCTTTCTGCTTGCCTGCACCCTCGTTCTCTCTCTCTTTCTTTCTGCTTGCCTGCACCCTCGTTCTCTCTCTCTTTCTTTCTGCTTGCCTGCACACACTCTCCCCCTTCACTTGCGTTCTTCTTCAATCTTCATCACTTTTTACCCATTGGTTCGAACGTTTGTGTCTCATATCCTTATATGATAATATAAATAAAATTTCAAGCCGACGAAAAATAAGGCCGAGTAAGAGAGAGAAGAAACATTTAGTCGTCCATATATTCTATACATAAACCGAAACAAAGCAGTAGACTATCACCATTTCAGTTCAACATTACTTTCAACTACATCGTTTATATTTTATTCGTTTCTTACTAAACATAACTGACAACAATGTCTGGCCAGGAGGTAGTAGCACTTGTTATTGATAATGGTAGTGATACATGTAAAGCTGGTTTTGCTGGTGATATTGCACCACGTGCAGTATTTCCATCAATTGTTGGTCGACCACGTGATCAAGATGCTACGGTTGGTATGGGACAAAAAGATTCATATGTTGGTGATGAAGCACAATCAAAACGTGATATTCTTACATTAAAATATCCAATTGAACGTGGTATTGTTACAAATTGGGATGATATGGAAAAAATTTGGCGTCATACTTTTTATAATGAACTTCGTGTTGCACCTGAAGAACATCCTGTATTTCTTACTGAAGCACCATTAAATCCAAAAGCTAATCGTGAAAAAATG